GGAGGAGGAGGAGGAGGAGGAAGATGAGGAGGGAGGAGGGAGGAGGGAGGATGGAGGAGGGTGGAGGGATGGATGGATGGAGGGAGGGAGGGAGGGAGGGAGGAGGGAGGAGGTGGAGGAGGAGGAATAATAATAATAATAAGAATAAGAAAAAGAAGAAGAAGAAGAAGAAGAAGACAAATAATAATAAGAAGAAGAATAATAATAACAAAAAAAAGAAGAAGAGGAGGAGGAGGAGGAGGAGGAGGATGAGGACGAGGATATGGAGGAGGAGATGAGCGCAGGGATCCTCATAAATGGCGGGCGGGGGGAGCGGCATGAGTGGGGAGACGGTGGAGGTTGACGCTGTCGGATTTGCCAGCGCCGCAATTTCTCCCTGCGGAGGCACATTGTGACGCCCCAGCACGAGCCGGCCGCGCCAACTGGCGGGGGTGGCGGCTTCGGCATGGGCTCGGTGATGCGCTACATCATGGTCGCTGGTTATGTCTACAGGCTCGGGGCCAGAAACCTACGCCCGCCGAGACGAGGCTTCTTTCGGCGGTGTTTGTTTCCCGAATCCAAGCGTTTTCCTTCATTACGGCTTCTTGGAACCATCATCAACATCCGAGTTCGAACGAACCTTCGGAACGGGATCTTGCCCCTGGTTTCAGAGAAGTAACTCGAGCGTGGGGGGAGGGATGATGAGGTTGTCCTTTTGTTTCGAGCGTCTCTGGCACCTTGTTGGCTTCTTGTGGCCTCCAGAGGCCTGCCTTCCTCCGTCGCCGCCTTTTGTTAGGGGGATGGGAGCGAGGGAGAGAGGGAGGTAGGAGGGACGGAGGGTACGGAGGGGGTAGTGATTGGGAGATGGGATGGGGCGAGGGAAGGAGGAGGGAACAGAGATTAATGGGAAGGAAAGGCAGGAGAGGGCAAGGAGGAGAGGGATGGAGGGAGGGTCAGGGGAGGGTCAGGGGAGGGTCAGGGGAGCGGAAATGGGGGCAATGGCAGGCGACGGAGTGGGGGGGTGCAGGGAGAAGTGGAAGGGGTGGTAGGAAGTGGATGGTATTCAGGCGAGGGGGCAGGCTCGGGGGCAGAGAAAGGTTCAGATCCCAACCAGACGCGTAAGATCCCAACCGGACGGTTCAGATCCCAACCGTCAATGACCCCCGGGACGCGTGAGATCCCAACCACTTTGGAGCCTCTGAAAAGCTCCAACCTATGCGATTCCCTGAGAATCACTGCGATTCCCTGAGGGATTCTGAGAGATTCTTGGAGATTCTCATAGATTCTGAAAGATTCTGAGAGATTCTGAAAGATTCTGAAAGATTCTGAGAGAGTCTCAGAGATTCTGAGAGATCCTCCGAGATTCTGAAAGATTCTCAGAGATTCTGACAGAGATTCTCAGAGATTCTGACAGAGATTCTCAGAGATTCTCAGAGATTCTCAGAGATTCTCAGAGATTCTCAGAGATTCTCAGAGATTCTGAGAGATTCTTAGAGATTCTCAGAGATTCTGAGAGATTCTGAGAGATTCTTACAGATTCTCAGAGATTCTCAGAGATTCTCAGAGATTCTCAGAGATTCTGCGAGATTCTGAAAGATTCTGAGAGATTCTCAGAGATTCTGAGAGATTCTCAGAGATTCTGAGAGATTCTGAGAGATTCTGAGAGATTCTGAAAGATTCTCAGAGGCCCTCTTGGGCGAGCATTTGGGTTTCTGAGGCCCTCGGGGCCAGCATGTCTGGGTCTCGCCGCCCGCTCGTTTCGGGGGGCGCCGCCCACTGGGAGCCAGGGCGGGTTGTCGCCGCCGCAGCCGCCGCAGCCGACGCCGTCGTCGCTGCCGTCGTCGTCGTCTCTCGGGCACCGCCCTCTGGGAAGACGAGGAGGATGATGAGGGGGAGCAGGACGAGGAGGAAGATGAGCGGAAGAAGTGCGCGGATGATGATGCTGATGTTGAGGAGGGTGGGGATAAGGAGTGGGAAGAGGGCTTGAGGGCAATAAGAGAGAGGAGGAAGAGGAGGAGGAGGAGGAGGAGGAGGAGGAGGAGGAGGGGGAGGAGGTGGAGGATCGCCACAACGGCGGCGAACCGCAGCATCATGATCATGACGTTGGTGATGCCGCTGCTGCTGGTGAGGATCCTGATGGCGCTGATGATGATGATGGTGATGATGCTGATGACGATGACGATGACGACGAGGATGACGATGGCGATGGCGATGACGAGGATGATGATGATGATGACGACGGCGATGAGGATGATGATGGCGACGACGGTGAGGACGATGATGACGACGGAGGAGGCGGAGGAGGGGGAGGAGGAGCGGGGGAGGGGGAGGACGCGGGAGGAAAGGGAAGGTGGAAGAAGGAGGGCGTCTTTCGTCGTCGTTAGTTGTCGTCGTTAGCCGTCGCCGTCGTCGTCGTCGTCGTCGTCGTCATTGGTCGTCGTAGTTGTCGTCGTGGTCATCGTCATCGCCATCGTGGTCGTCGCGTCGTCGCCGCCGGCTCGGCGCTGGCGGGGCCGCCGCC